GCTTGAAGTGAATCAGTTAATAGTTTTTTTATTTCAAGTTTGTAGCATTTAAAAATTTCCAAATTTAGAATTGTTTTAAGTGAAAGCGAAGTCTAAAAGTGCCAAAACAAAAGTATTACGTTTAACTAAACAGTTTACGTGTTACTAGCTTGCGCTCAGCTCTGTTTATTACAATTAGTAATTGCAATTATTCTTATTAAATTACGTTACAAAATTTCTTTACTGCTGAATTTTCTGATATATGTTAATATTTTAATATCTTTTCAAAGCCGTATGTATGAAAACAAACAACAATAAGAAACAAAGAAATGATTCGAAAACTCAAATCATTTTTTGAGTCGCATCTCGAATCGAAGCAGCATTGGATTCGATTCATTAACCATTCTTCCAAAGTGTATACGGAATCATCTAAATTTAAAGAATATATATTTTTTCCTGTTATGTTTCTTGATAAATTATTTCGTAGGAAACTTTTTTGCTTTAATTCTAAGTATAAAAGAGATCATAGATCATAGATATAAAAGAGATAAACTATGAGATATAAAAGAGATAAAAGAGAGTTTGAACGAGAATCATGAGAGTTACCTGTCCGACCAAAAAATCTCTGAAAAAATATCTGCTATCAACAAAATCCTGAAGAATAATTGTATGATAATTTTTGCGAATAATGTAGAATCTTTTTCGGTCCTTTTATTCTTATATGGCACCCATCTATTGCACTAACTACAAGTGTAAAATTTTATATTTCTTTATATTATTTCATAAATTCTTTTACCTTTGCTTCTCGAGGTATATATATGTATATATATATATATATATATATATATATATATATATATATATATATATATATATATATATATATATATATATATATATACATATATATATATATATATATATATATATATATATATATATATATATATATATATATATATATATATATATATATATAAATATATATATATATATGTGTATATATATATATATACATATATATATATATATATATATATATATATATATATATATATATATATATATATATATATATCCTGCCCCTATAAATAAAAGAGCTTGAATTTTTTGCATTTATAGGCAACTGGGACCAAATTTTCATCTGCACTGGTGGGGGAGTTTTTTTTCTATTTCGAAAAAAGTATTATTATTTTAAGTTAATACAAGTAAAAGTTCATCTTTTGCCGCTATGCCATTTCCAAAAAAATGAAATGTGTTTTTTAGTCATACCCCTAAAATATATATATATATATATATATATATATATATATATATATATATATATATATATATATATATATATATATATATATATATATATATATAATATATATATATATATATATATATATATATATATATATATATATATACATATATATAATATATATATATTTGTATAAAATATAATTAACAAATCCATTTGTTACAAAGTGAATTATTTCACATTCTGTTAAACGACTCAGACCAAAATATTGCTTATTGTTCAAATGTCAGAAGACCTAGACAAAAATACAAATTTACTTTTTGTTTAAGTGAAACAGTTTTTCTATAGTTATTATCTTTTTTTTTTATACATAATATTAATTCTGAACATAATTATATAAATGCTTGACATTCTTATATTCGCATCCCATTCAGATTCTGACCAATATATGTTGTTTCGAAATGTTTGATGTGTTGAGATCTCAATTTTTTGCAAACTAACCAAGGCCTGGAGACATAGCTGAATAAAACTTGATTTATCATTTGTAAATGAAATTGACTTTATTGGTGTCGTCTTCTTTAATATTTGAGAGTGAACTTTAGTTAAGAAGATTTTTAATATCTCTTTATTTCGCAATTTTTTCACTCTTTAATTTTTAAAGAATTTATCAAATTTGACGTGACAGAATTAGAATAAAAATAGAGATTTTTCCTCAGTTCGTAATTTTTTGTTTCGTTAAAATAAGTCTGATTTTTTTTTATTATTCTGATGTGGCAAGGGAAATTTTTTAAATAAGTTTAAACGAAACACAATTTTAAATGCACGTTTTATTAAAACTCTTTTTTTGGTGTGAATGGGGTATTAAAGTATTTTTAACACAAAAGATATAAAGTTGTATGATCGAGCTTTTAGAAGGCTCACCAAACAGAAAGCCAAATTAGAGTTGCTTCAATCAACTAGCTCATTATTCTGATTGCAAAATTAGAGAAAGGAGTCACGACTTGTTAGTTTCATATATATATAGGGCCCAAGGTTAGAGGTATCAACATTGTCCTGCTGATGAATTGTTTCTTTGTCCGAATTTACAAAGACAGACATGACAAAATTTGTCCTTTCCATAACTAACTTTGTCTATTTGTGTGTTTTTCCCATTGAATTAAAATGGCATTCAAAATGATTAAATGTAAATATAATTTCTACTCGTGACTTAGCGGAGCTATTTTTCTCTTTAACTTGTTAAAAGCAAAAGCATTGGCGGCTTTTGCAAGGTGCATTGACGGCCACAATGCCATCAAGATTATTCTCTTTGAAATAAGTCTTGGTACAATGAACTGTTGTTTCATATTTTGGATTCTTGTCTTGGCCCACCATCAAGAGTTATAATCATGACTGATTTGCATATCAATATTAAAACTGTAACATTTAACTTTTTCTTTCTGTGCTCTGACTTCTTCTGTGATCTGCTTGAAAGTAATTTTAGGTAAATTTCTGATATGGAGAGATTTTAATCATGCTTTTTCAGTCCTTCAACCAAATCATTTAATGTTTTTACAGTTCAAACAATTTTAGTTCTTTTACTATCATTTTACCACAAGCAGACCTTTTCATGGCGATGTTTACAACTATTTCAGTTAAACTGTCCTGAACACAGGCGTTTGACCTTTTAAAACTGGATAACTTTAATATCCGGATCTTATACCTATTTTGATTTTTTTCTTTCTAATCTAGTTGCTATGATTGCTGTTTGACGTTCAGTGACTTTTTGATGAAGTACAAGATTTCGGTTTTTTATTTTTAACAGTTTCCGCTTTTGCCCTAATATAAGGTGTTCTTGTGAAATCAAGTTGCAATTTCTTTTTTTAGTAAGATATGAAGTATCTTTTTGTAAACTAAAACTTCTATTCTTTAACTGATCTTGCTTCAGGACTTGTTTTTGTAAAACTTTTGAAAAACCAAGTATTCTTGTAATCTTTTTTCACTTTCTTAATTGTCATAAAAAAATTGTTTTAGATTGGAAAGCAAGCTTTTTATGTGTCTTATTCGTTCATTTTCTCCTGTAAGATAAAATACCAACTTTGTTTCAGAGTTTAATTTGTTTTAGTTATTCCATTTTTTTTCAACTTCTACAGTTAATTCGTGTCTATAGTTAATTGCTTCTTAAATTGAATGTGTTGTCATCAATTAATAAGCCAACGCGAGTGTCAAAAACTTCGGCAACAGCAAAAGATAATATTCTCATTAATAATTACCTAGAAATGGAATTTGAAACTGGGATAATGAAAAAAATTACAAAAACTAAACATATTTTAACCAAAATCTTATTAAAAATGCTAAAAAAAAAGTAATGCAGTAATCAAATCATTAAATGCAAATTTGATGGTAAGAAAATGCAGTCCGTCATTAATGACATAATAGGAAGAAAAAATAAATTCAACTTCTTTACCAAAAAGAACTTGAATTAACATTAACTAGAATTTGAACTTGAATTAACACTAATTAGAATTTGAATTAACATTAATTAGAATTTGAATTAACATTAATTAGATTTTGAATTAACATTAATTAGAACTGATATTTACAACACTGACATATTTTCTAAAAAACAAATATCAGAAGAATTTTGCAAATATTTTATAAATATTGGTCCAAATCTTGCTTATAAAATAATTTCAACCTCTGATTCATTTAAAAACTACCTAAAATCCGTAAACAATGTTATGATGTATGTTAACTATAAAGTATTTATAGAGGCGGTAGTGGTGTAGTGGTAAGAGCGCTCGCTTTGAAAGCGAGAGGTTCCGAGTTCGACTCCCACCAGGTCCCTGTAAGTACCGCGCTCAACTTAATTTTTTCGCGCAGCGGCCTTGCTTGTCAAGGTTCGTGTTTCGGAGTTAAAAAGTTGAGATAGGGTTGTACCACTATTTACAAAAAAAAAAAAAAAAAAAAAGAGTAGCCTCCTTGACTGTAGTGGTCCCTCGGGCCTTGTGGAGGTGAACAATAAAAAAAAAAAAAGCGTTTTCTCTTTAAAAACAAAGAAAGCACCAGGATTTGATAAAATATCTAGTGATATATCTTCAACAAAATCAGCTTAAGCAGCTATAGCTTTCAAAAACAAGCGTGCAGAACCATTTACTTTAAAAATAAGCGTAAGCGCGCTAAACCTATAATGTTAAATATAAATAATGAATATAAAGTTTTATGTATTAATTCAAAAACCTCTCTTCAGAAAACTCTAATTACAACTGAAATGAATTGCAATGAAATTTATTATATAAGTGCAATTATAAGTGACATTTCTATAGGGAGCTCTATGAAAAGATTGCGATGACATATTGGCATCTTCATCTTCTTTGAGCCCTCTCTCTGTTTAATTCTTTCTTTATAAAGGTCATTGTAAAAAAGAAAAGTTTTTATTTTATATTGGATATACAAAAACGGTGCTTGTTGACAAAGTTTTACTGTCTTCTTCGTTTTACAGTCGTTTTTTTTTTCTTGTATTTATATGTTGACTATTTATTGATTTATTATAAACAGCAAAATAAATAAAATAATAAAAAAAACCTAATTTTTATTGGTATTAACCTTTTATATATTGATATAAATTTTAGTTGATTAATGTATTCTACGTCAATGGTCTTATGAGTCATATGGCTGATATATATTTGATGCAGAAATAATTATTAATAATACAATTATTAAATGAAAATAGTAGTTTAAAATAATACATATAATGTAATATTTATATTAAAGTAATAAAAAGTAATAAAAATAGTAATACCAATAGTAATATAATTATTAAATGAAAATAGTAACAATCAATGTTGAATGTTGATGGTACTTGTAAACAACTAGAGGTAACTACCACAGAAAAAGATCTGGGAATTCTTGAATTAGATAACCTAAACGTTCGATCTCAAATAGAAACTGCCGCTTCAACCGCAAACAGTATACTTGACCCGCTTGAATAGTCTTTCCTATGATGTACTCTCTCTTTAACGATTGCGTCCTCTTCTAGAACTTTCCGTACAATCATGGTCATCTATTTCAAAAGATGAAAAAGTACAGAAACGAGGCAAGAAAAGTATTGCGGCAATCAAACATTTATTGTACGCGGAGAGACTACTACGGCTGAAGGTTACCACCCTAGAACAATACGCGGAGACTTAATTTTAAAATATAAAATGTTGAACAATATTGTAAACAGACTTGCTTGTTTCCCAGAAACGTCGATCGCAACCAAAATCCGGACTACTCAGACGCAATATGCGAATAAAGAGACAAAATGCAAAAAACTGTTCTTTGCGTGGACATTTCTACACAGATCGTATCACACTCATCGAAAAACTTTATCGCAAAAAGTTATAAATGCGTCTACAGTTTACTTTCTCTGAAGGACTCAATTATTTAGACCATCTGCTGCTTCGTTTTCAGCGCAAACTCGAAAGAAAAGTCTTGTTTTGCTTCTCTTCATCAATGATTTTGTAATTGTTGATTTCTGTAAAAAAAAAATTCAAAGACATTAGTAACTCATTAGACCTGGAGACATTAGTAACTCATATAATAATTATAAAACAGCAATAGCATTAAAGGTGGTTCACCAAAAAAAAGTAAATAAAATAATAAAAAATTAAAATAAATTATTATTTTATTAAATAGAAAATTTTATTTTATTTTAGTTTTTTAAAAAGTTTTACTTTTGTTAAATATTTTTTGTGATATTTATGGTTTTAGTTAGATTCATAAACTAATAAGTCAAAATAGTTTCTACGACAGTTCAAATTTTATTCTTTATTCTTCACTTCAAACATGATAACTCAAATATTCATATTTGATAATATTGACTTATAATAATAAGTCAAAAATTGCGTGACGTAGTTTATGGACTATCCTTTTTGTGAAACTATTAAACAAAAAACACAAAACAAAATAAACAAACAAACAAAAAAACAAGATTATGCTTTTAGTTAGATTCATAAACTAATGAGTCAAAATAGTTTCTACGACAGTTCAAATTTTATTCAAGCTGCATTACATATCAGTGTCAGACGAGAACATTATTACATATCAGTGTCAGACGAGAACATTATTACATATCAGTGTCAGACGAGAACATTATTATAAGTAATCACGCGCAAAAAATATTTGTGTTAAACATTTTTAATGATTTGGATACTATCATCAGGAGTGGCTTTTAAAAAAAGTTTAATAAAAAATAAATCAATGAAAAAATTATAATCATAAATAAATAAAATTAAAATATATTTGTTTTTTAATTTTTAACTTTCCTTACCGAAAACCTGACTTTAAATAAACTTAAAAAAAAAAGAATTTATGAATTAATGATCTTTGATCTAATTAATTTTGATCCTAGAAATAGAACAACAACAATATTTAGCTGTTTATTACTAAATCAAAGAAAAGTTGCTGAAATGTTTTGGTCAGGTTGATAAGAAAGTATATATTTTTATTATTTCATTTATTTAACACCTAATGTAATTTACAAGGTAAAAAGAAAAATAAGAATGTTGTTTCTCGTAATTTTCACATAAGAAATTTTTCTTCCAAAATTTGTTTAAAAATTCCTCTTTGCTCTTTCGCATTCCAGCACTCTATTGCATATTTCAAAGTTTGTTCATCTTCGGAGGGAATTTCACTTTTAAAAAGTGCTATTTTTATCTTCTTTTTATTTTGAAAGAAATTTTCAAAATTTAGCATCCGAAAACGGCATAGGTCCTGGATATCGCCAAACAAACGAATGTTTAAATAAGGAGTGTTTCAGTTGTGTAAAGATAATGTCTGAAGTTGTTTAATTATTAAGAAGACGAAGAAACAAGTTTAATTTATTTTGTTGAATACTTTTTGAAATATCCTGGATTTTAAATAGCGAATTTGTATAGTTTTTACTGTGTTTTGAAACATTTAAAAACGATTTTTGTGCACTCCTTCCAATTACATCTAGCTTTTTCATCAAAGCAGAATTATTTTAACATAGCTCAATACCATAAGTTAAGGTAGAGACTGCCAATAATTTATATATAATAGGAAATAAAACTTGGGTGGGCAAACCGGATTCCAGATTGAATAAGAGTTTGAACAACAGCTCTTTGTTTGAAATTTTTTCATCAACATTTGTATTATTGAGTGAAGCAAAAGTTGAATGTTTAGTATACCACGTGAATCCCAGATGTCTTAGTTTATTCTGAAGATTTATTTTATTACTGGAAATCGTTATTGTATTGGTTTGTATTTGTGCTTTACCTGAAATCAAGAATTCAGTTTATATATATATATATATATATATATATATTATATATATATATATATATATATATATATATATATATATATATATACATATATATATATATATATATATATATATATATATATATATATATATATATATATATATATAATATATATATATATATATATATGTAAAGATATATATATATATATATACATACATATATATATATATATATATATATATATATATATATATATATATATATATATATATATATATATATATATATATATATATATATATATATATATATATATATATATATATATATATATATATATATATATATGTATATATATATGTATATATATATATATATATATATATATATATACATATATATATATATATATATATATATATATATATATGTATATATATATATATATATATATATATATATATATATATATATATATATATATATATAATTTTTTTATATAATTAAAATATATATATATAATTTTTTTTGTTTAAATAAAAAATTTCCAGTGGTTGGAAATGTTTTAGAGACATTTTGATTTTGGTATATTTTGTTCAGGAGGTTAGCAAGTTTTTATAAACTCTTATTTTTAACTCTTATTTTCCGTTTTTTGTTATTATTTTGTTTTTTTATTACAGGTTATATTTTTTATTGAGATTATGCAAATAAAAAAATAAAAAGTGAAAAGTTAACTTAGATGTTGTTAAAAATTTAACGATCATTTTTTTAAAAAACAAAAATTTTGAATCTGTTTTTTTTTGCTTATAAAAATTTAAAAATTTGAACAACCCAGACAGACAATTATTTTAATACCATTTATTATCTTTTTTTTGTTGGTTTTTTTTTTCTCTAATTTTTGAGACAAATTAATGATCTTCCTTATCATTATCTACATAGTTAATAACATAATTGTTTTTTTAATACCTTTTTGTTATTTTTAAATATTTTAAATTAAATGATGTGTTATTTCAAGTTATTGAAAGGATTGTTTTAATTAGGTTTTCGTTTATCACTTTAACAACATAATTCATTTTTACATTATGATTTTGTTTTCAATCATGATTTGGGCAAAAGCTTTTTGGATAGAGAATTATGAAGAAATAGAAGATGTCGTGCATAAAAGATGGATAGATAAAGTAGTAAATAGTAAATAGTACTTTCTATATATGGTTGGAAAGAGGTAGATTTAAACTGAATAATGCAAAAAATCTTAAGTTTCATACTAACCTTAACATGCTTAAAAAAAGACACGCCCGGTGGGAAGCGAGCTAGCGATTAGCTAGCGACTAGCTAGCTTTATAGCGATTTTAGAGCGATTTTTTTTTTCTTATTTAATTTTTTCCTTAAGTCTTTAACATCATTGAAAATTCGATTTTTAGTGTTGGATCTATTATAATTATGAAAATAATTGAATTTTAAACATTGCGATATTGTAACGATATATCGCTAGCTATATATCGCAGTTTTTTAGTCAGCGATTTTAATACGATACGACACTAGCTAGATATCGCATTTGTTTTGCTGGCAACTAGATAGCAATATATCTATAGCTATTCGATAACTACATATCGCAGCTTCTTAGCTATCGATTTAATTACGATTAATCGCTAGTTACGTATCGTAGCTTTGTAGCTAGTTACAAGATATCCACAAATCGATAGCTAGTTGATAGCTACATATCGCATTTTTTTAGACAGCGATTTTATTACGATTTATCGCTAGTTACATATCGCAGTGTTGTAGCTAGCTACAAGGTAGCCAAAAATCGATAGCTAGTTGATAGCTACATAACGCAGTTTTATAGACAGCGATTTTATTACGATATGACGCTAGCTACATATCGCATTTATTTAGCTGGCAACTAGATAGCAATATATCTATAGCTATTCGATAGCTACATATCACAGCTTCTTAGCTATCGATTTAATTACGATTAATCGCTAGTTACGTATCGTAGCTTTGTAACTAGTTACAAGATAGCCACAAATTGATAGCTAGTTGATAGCTACATATCGCAGTTTTTAGATAGCGATTTTATTACGATTTATCACTAGTTACATATTGTAGCTTTGTAGCTAGCTACAAGTTAGCCACAAATCGATAGCTACTTGCTAGCTATATAATGTAGTTTTATTGACAATGATTTTATTACGATTTATCGCTAGTTACATATTGTAACTTTGTAGCTAGCTACAAGGTAGCCACAAATCGATAGCTACTTGCCAGCTATATAATGCAGTTTTATTGACAACGATTTTGTTACGATTTATTGCTAGTTTCATATTTGTAAGCCTTTTTAGCTAGCTACAAGGTCGCCATAAATAATGCTAATAATAATTGAACTTTAAAAGTAAAGATTTTATTACGATATGTCGACAGCTACATATCGCAGCTTTTTAGCAATTGATTTGAATGCGAAATGTCGATAGCTGCATATAGTTGTGATTTAGCTAGCTAGAAGATAACGAAAAGTCTTTAGCTTCATATTAGGGCTTTAAAGCTATCTATATTTTAGCACGAAATGTCGATAGTTTTTTGAACAGATGTAGTTTATGCGCACTGTTCCAGACGTATGGAAATAAAATTTTGGTCAGATGGTAGATGAGCGTAGTAAGTTTTAACTATAAATAATAATATTTTATTATTATTATTATTATTATTATATATATATATATATATATATATATATATATATATATATATATATATATACATATATATATATATATATATATATATATATATATATATATATATATATATATATATATATATATATATATATATATATATATATATCTTTAAAAGTCATTTCTTGTTATACGATATTATATATATATATATATATATATATATATATATATATACATATATATATATATATATATATATATATATATATATATATATATATATATATATATATATATATATCTTTAAAAGTCATTTCTATTTATACGATATATATATATATATATATATATATCTTTAAAAGTCATTTCTTGTTATACGATATATATATATATATATATATATATATATATATATATATATATATATATATATATATATATATATATATATATATATATATATATATATATATATATATATATGTAAGTTGATTTTAATAAAAAAGGCAGCGTATAACTATTTTTAAATATATTTTGATGTAAAAATATATCAACGATATTTCGCTGACCTATTGTGGTCAGCGTCATCAGGTTATAATAAAAAACGTTACAAAATAACATAAAAACAAACTGTTTAAAAAGAAGACATTAAAAAGCGTCAAATATAAAAACCAATTAAATATAATAATGACGTCAGTTAAATTTTTGTCAAAATGGGTCCCCAAGTTCTTGTTTTAACCTTATCCCCGTCATCTCGATTTAGAACACCTTCCCCAATACCTATCTCACATCGAACTTTCGCTTTGTTAATCTCCAGAGATTCTCTAATTTTTCGTATCTTGTATTCTTGAACGACTGCCAAGGTCTTAGGATTTAGCCAATCAAAGTTACCACGGCATGTTTTGGAATGTTCCGTGGCTCCTGAACTCGACCATTTTTGATTTTTGCAAGCTCTTTGGTGTTCTGCACTTCTTGAAATGATTTTCTTTTTGGTCTTACCAATATATATATTTGCGCATGAGCATTTAAGTTGGTAAACCCCCGGATTTGAGTTCGGAGGTAGTTTAGTTTTGTTGTTGCATAATATATTACTTAAACTAGGAGCTGAAGTAAATATAACTCTGATGTTTTGTTTTTTAAATTCTCTTCGGAGTTTTGGGCCAATAATAGGTATCCAAGGTAGTTTAACAAACTTTTGATCTAACTGATTAGATGTAGTATTTTTTGAAATGCCGTCTAAATAGTTTTTGGTTATTTTAATAAGATTATTTTAAAAAAAATGTATTTATGAGGAAATCAATTTCTTGTGAGAGATATTTTTGAGAGCAGATTTGTTTTGCTCGACATAAAAAACCTTTAAAGACGCCAATGGTTATGCTCGGGTTGATGTTGGAGTTTGGTTTTATTTGAACATTTGTTATCGCATCCTTACGGTGTATTTGAAACTCATAAAATCCATTCATTGTATTTGTAATACAAATATCTAAAAAATTAAGTTGTTTTCTTTTGTTTTCAAGTTCAACGGTATATTTTATGGAGGGGTTTTGTTCATTTAAAGCTTTAAGAAATAATTCTTGCTTTTCTTTTGAATCGAAGCGAGCATGGCTATTATCCACATATCTTTTATAAGTTATTGGTTGGAATGAATTAACAAAGGCTATATCAAGTGCTCTTTTTTCTATACTTTGCAAAAATGCTTCAGCTATGACTACCATCAATGATAAACCAATTGGACCTGAATTAGGTAAAATTCGGATTTTATCTTCGTATAAAAAATAACATATGCTTAACGATAGTTTAATTAATTGGTGTATATCTATGAGAGTTAATTTAGTCCTAGTTTTTAAATCTTCAAGATCATCGTTCAATATGTTAATAATAACAGGAATTGCTTCATTGATCGGTACGGATGGATATAAATTAATTACATCGAAAGAAACCTGAATTTCATTAGGGTCTATCTTCCATTCTTTAGCATCGTTGACAAAGTTTCTTGAATTAATTAGTCGAGTTATGTTTTTGTTTAATGTTGGTTGGATAATTTTAACCAGATACTCAGATGTTCCATAAGGAGGTGTGTTAATAGTGGAAACAACAGGACGCATTGGGTAGTTTTTTTCCGGTTTGTGTGCTTTAACCATTCCATAGATTCTAGGTGGAACGCAATCTGATGGATATATTTTAAAATAAGTAGCATTGTCTAACTTACCTTGTTTTCTTAATTTACATAATAGCTTTTGAAATTTAGTAGTGAATGTGGGTGTTGGGTCGTAATCAATAATTTTACTATTTTTTATTTGTTCTTCTAATTTCGCTTTTGCTTCATTTTCGCATAATAAAGCAAAACCTGTTCCTTTGTCAAACGGATATATCTTTAGATGTGAATGTTTTTTCAGGTTTTGTAAAGAAAGGCGTTGTTGTTTTGTTAAATTATCTTTTATTTTTAACTTTAAAGAACTGGTTAGAATTTTGGAACAGTTTTGTCGAAGAATCTCTGCTTGTGTTTGTTTATTTTGTTGTTTGAGTTCTAAGGCGCAAGTTTCAATATTAGTGATTATGTCCATATAAGGGATGTTCTTTTGTATTGGGACAAATTTGGGACCAAGATTAAGTAGTTCAGTAGTTGCTTTATCAAGATTAATATTTGTTAAATTTAGTATAGCTGTTTTTAAAATTCGGTTAGGACGATTTTTTTCAAAATTGATTTTATAACTGATGTCATTTTTCAATTTATAGAATTTTTCTTTCATTTTAGTTTTTTTAAAAGAATAATGGTAGTTCTTAGATTTGTTCGTTACATTATTAATTATCTCATAGTCATTAGATCTTATTTGAGATTGAAGATATAAATTTAATTCATCAATTAACTTCTTACTTGAATATAATCTTTCTTTTGCTTCATTTCGAGCATGAACTAATAATTTTTTTCTGCATTCTTTTATTACATTTTCAGCTTTTTTGGTACGTAGTGGACTTTTTATTTTAAACGATTTTGGAATTATATTGTTTGATATGCATTTTTGAAGAAAAACGAGTTGATTTTTCGCAATTGCATTTTGTATCTTCAAAGTTTGCAATTTTTTCGTTTCATTGTAAATCTCTTTGCCGTAAAGAGCAGTGATAAAATCTTTAAAAGTCATTTCTTGTTATACGATATATATATATATATATATATATATATATATATATATATATATATATATATATATATATATATATATATATATATATATATATATATATATATATATATATATATATATATATATATATATATATATTTAATATGTAAGTTGATTTTAATAAAAAAGGCAGCGTATAACTATTTTTAAATATATTTTGATGTAAAAATATATCAACGATATTTCGCTGACCTATTGTGGTCAGCGTCATCAGGTAATAATAAAAAAAGTTACAAAATAACATAAAAGCAAACCGCTTAAAAAGAAGACATTAAAAAGCGTCAAATATAAAAACCAATTAAATATAATAATGACGTCAGTCCAAACCAAACCTTCAGTCGATGTAGCAGCACTCTTTTGCGAGTCAGGCTATTTGTCAGTCAGGCTATAAGGTAGTCGATATAGCAACACCCGCACATGATTTACACTAAAAAAATAAAAATAAAAACATTTTATTTAAAAAATAAAAATAAAAACATTGTTTATATTTTTAAAAACATTCTTAATGTTTTTAAAAACATTCTGGTCAATTAAATTTGCGTTTTTGCGGTTTTTTTAAAAAATGTATATATATTTATATATATATATAGCTATATCTGTAAAAAAAATTAAAAAAACTATATAAACTTTAATTTTTATAATACAGTTGGGTTATTTCTATATTACAATAAAGTTTATTTTTCATTTAAAAAATCTAAATACTTTTGTTTTCTCGATTAAAAAAATAATTAAGTTAATGGTTTTAACTTTATGACAACACGGAAATGTTGGATGAATGTCAAAAGTAATTAAAAGTGACGTAACTTGTTGTCAAAAGAATCATTTTTTACCTTCCGTACTCTCAAAGCCAACAATTTATAGAACTCTCTCTCTCTCTCTCTCTTTCTCTCTCTCTCTCTCTCTCTCTCTCTCTCTCTCTATATATATATATATATATATATATATATATATATATATATATATATATATATATATATATATATATATATATATATATATATATATATATATATATATATATATATATATATATATATATATATATATATATATATATATATATATATATATATATATATATATATATATATATATATATATATATATATATATATATATATATATATATATATATATATATATATATATATATATATATATATATATATATATATATATATATATATATATATATATATATATATATATATATATATATATATATATATATATATATATATATATATATATATATATATATATATATATATATATATATATATATATATATAGCTATATCTGTAAAAAAAATTAAAAAAACTATATAAACTTTAATTTTTATAATACAGTTGGGTTATTTCTATATTACAATAAAGTTTATTTTTCATTTAAAAAATCTAAATACTTTTGTTTTCTCGATTAAAAACGCATTAACGCGTGTCATGAAATTGCTGTCTAGAAGTTTTAATTAACATACTTTAGTATACCGCATTACGCAATACCAGTTATGCAACTAATGATTTTTGGCAATATTTTACTAACGACTTAATTTGTCATATTGAAATTTACTATACATAACCAACAATTTTATCGATATTGCTTTTTTCGCACTATCACTCTACTATTCATATTGTTTTAAAAATATCAATATCGATATCAAAAATGGCATGTAAAAGATCTTCAGATGAACCTTCGGAATGCAACAGCTTTCTTCAAAGCTCTAAACGGATGGGCCAAGTTGTAACGGTAATTACATTTCATTTATATGATCTATATGTAAGACTCTAATAATTTAACTCGCATTTTCCTCTTTTATTTTAGTTTTTATTATGTTACCGTAAACCGGGGTTACTTTAAGCGTTTTTGAGATATTTTTACTTGCTTTTTCCTCACTATAGGCAATATTTAAAATTTAACAAAATGAATATAGGGGCTAAGGTTGACTCATACATAATTCAAATTCAAAATATTATTTAAATAATATTAATTTAAAAAGTTTAATATTAATTTAAACAGTCAGTTCTTTTAAAATCATTTTCTTGTTATACGATATTTATGTTTTATAAAATGAGTTTTTAAAATCATTTTATTATTTTTAAAAACCCTTTTTTGCGTTACCATTAAATAAAATGTTTTAAAAAAGTTGTCACAGACTTATTATGTCAAATGTTGGTTGTTTCCTAATTATTGAAATTCCATTTACTATAATATTTTTGGTATTACATATTTAGTTTTAAATAATAACGGTCTTGTTTAAACGCATCAACGTTTTTGCTTTTGTATAAAACCAAAAACGTTGATGCGATTCTTAAAAACGTTAAATTGCTGAAAACCGCAAAAATCATACAATAAAAAGCTTTAATTTTGTAGTTTAAAAGTTAAACAAATTTTCAACTAACAATAATAAAACAATAAGTTTGTTATTTTTTAACTGTTGATTTTTAGTTCAAACTAATGAAGTTTGTTTTGTTTTCATTTTACATTTTTTCTAAAAATGTTGAAGTGCCTAATACAGTAGCGTTTAAGCTAGCTAGAAGATTACAAAAAGTCTATAGCTATTTGATTGCTACATATCGCAGCTTTTTTTTAGCTATCTATATTTTAGCACGGAATGTCGATAGTTTTTTATACAGTTGTAGTTTCGGCCCACCTTTGAATGGGAGTATTTTTAAACTAACTCAATAAACTATTTTTATTGTAATCAATGCACATAAAATGTGTTGAGTATTTAACTTAGGTAAAGTTGAGTTGATTATGAGCTGTATTTATTATGATTTCTTTTGTCCTTTTTTATTAACAGATTTTTGTATATGTCAAGATTAACCTTTTTTGGATATTTCCAGAATTCTGGAAATTTTTTGTAACTTTTTTTTTGCTGGATATCTAAAAGATTTTCTATACATAAAAATATTGCCTGGACGATCTATGATATGTATGTTGTATAAAGCTATGATTGTATGTATATTAAAAAAGTTATTTTTTTTAGCATATTCATACTGCAGAATCAGAAGTAGAAATTGATTTTAATACATAAAAAAAAAAAAAAAAAAAAAGAAAACTCCTTTAAGTCAACAAAACAGAAAGAGAAAAAAAAAAATGTATTTTTGAAGAACCTCCTTTACCATCATTACCATTGTGGGAGCCACCAAAGCTTCTTGATTCCGATTCAGTATACATTTTAAAATTTTATACCATTCGTAAAAATAACTTTTTTTGTTTCATTTTTATGGTTTATTTGCTTTTTTTAGTTTCCATTTTTAAATTTAAAAGAAAAAAAGTATAATATAATCAGAATATTGTGAATGTATTTATAATCATTGTTAATCTTTTTTAGAACTTTTTGTCCGTCTCTGCCTCAATGGATTAAGTAGATGACTTGCCAGTTACACAGATTGTGTTTCCATCAGAAATGCAGTCTGTTTCACAAGTTCAACCGTTACTGCATTCATCTTCTTCTTTTTCTTTACCATCTCAAAAAACTGGGATAGACCAAATTAATAACTTTATTCGGAAAGCAAATGTTGAACCCAATACTGTTGAAGGCATTCAATTTATAGTGAAATCCGTGTACAGAAAACTTTGTGGGTTGGAAACAGAAATGCGTTCCATGCGTTCAATTTTAGACACTTATCATGGTAATAAAGAAAATATTAATATAGATTATTTACCAGCTAATTCAGTTAAAGAGTTTGACTCACTAGAAAATAAAATAATTAACTCTAATGATAAAGATTTCATTTGCAGAAAGTTAAAGCAAATTGGTGGGAGAAATGTAAGTGACTTTTTAAAAAATGCTTTAAAAACTTGTTTAACAGACAAGCTGTGCTGCAGCATTAATCGAACTGGTGCAGATAAAAAGCGTAAGTTTATAGGACCATTCGAAAGTTTGATTTTTGATGCAGCTTACTGTTTATTTCCAACTGCCACTGAATCCAGTATGACTACAATAATTGCGAAACACTTAAAAAAGTCTAAAGATCGTTATTTTGCTGCAAGAAAGAGAAATTCTTCTTTAACAAGTTATATACAAATACACAGTCCTGTTAGAAAAAAAATTTAAACACTGACTCATGTAGTGATTCTAGTTAACTTATTTTTTTTTTGTTTATTTATTCTATTATTTTTTATGGCTATTTTTTTTTAGATATTTTATTTGTTACAACTTTTTTAGCAATTATTTTCGAAAATTGATAAAGATTAAAAAAAAACTAAAATTTGACAGAAATTTTATTCTATTATCTTTTTAAATATCTTTTGAAATTATTAATTTAATTTAGGCAAAATCATTTAGTTGTTAATTACTTTTTATTTTTCAAAAGTAATCTATAACTTTTCTTTTAACATTTTATAATGGCTTTAACATTTATAACTTTTTATGGAAACAAGTATTAACATTTTGTATTTAATTTGTTACAAATGCAATATTATTTTAATGGTTATAATTCACTCCCCTGAAAAATATAGCACACGTTTCTTTGAGCATATCTTTTAACCTAGCTGAGATTTTCTAGCCAAATCGATGTCATTGTCGTAACGACTTAATGCTAGCTATTCGCTAGCTTATTTAGCTAGCAATCCTCGTGGCCATACCGCTGTCTTTATCGTAACGACTTGTCGCTAACTTGTTTAGCTAACGGATCGCTAGCTCATAAAGCTAGCGATCCTCGTGGTCAAATCGCTGTCTTTATCGTAGCGACTTAGTGCTAGCTATTCGCTATCTTATTTAGCTAGCGATCCTCGTGGCCATATCGCTGTCTTTATCGTAACGAATATCTCTATCTATTCGCTAGCTTGTTTAGCTAGCGGATCGCTAGCTTTATAAGCTAGCGGATCGCTAGCTTATAAAGCTAGCGATCCTCGTGGCCAAATCGCTGTCTTAATCGTAACGAATATCGCTAGCTATTCGCTAGCTTGTTTAGCTAGCGGATCGCTAGCTTATAAAGCTAGCGATCCTCGTG